ATATTTGGACCCGAGCTGGGAGTTGTGGTCAGGAGGGGTGGAGGGCAGGCGGGGTCGGGGTGGGAGGGTGGCCGAAGACATAGTCGAAGAGGAAGATCTTTAGACAGGTCTTGAAGGAGGCAAGAGAGGGGGTGAGGTGAAGGGATTGCAGGATAGAGTTCCAGAATGTAGGGGCAGAGATGCTGAATGCCCGACCACCAGTGGTGGGGCGGGAAGTGCGGGGAACCTGAAGCAGGCCGGTGTCCGCCAAGCAGAGGGAACGGACAGGTTAATATGGGGTTAGGAGGTCAGAGAGGTAGTGGGAAGTAAGAGCGTGGACCACATCATAGCCACAATATTCACATACCCCCCCCTCCATCTGAGCTCCTAGTATTCACTCCATTGTTTATAAAAATGCTTCAGTGATGATTACCTCACAATGTAGCAGCTTAGGACTCAGCCTAGGAGTCCTGTAGCTCAGTGGTTAGAGCACTCGCCTTGCAAGCAAGACACCTGGGTTCAATTCCAGGCAGGGCGAAACCTTGGGCAAGTTTCCTTACTCCACACACCTAATAATAATCCCTCAAAACAAAACAATAATAAGTTGGTAATTTTCAATCCACGACTGTTTGTGGGACACTGCTGTACGCAATTGGCTGCTGCGTTTCGTCCACAAGTATACGGTCAATTCACTTTACAGTCTATTCTGTAAAGCGCTTTCAAACGTTGAGAAGATGTGAAAAGCGCTATATCAAATGCAAGGATTATTATTATATTATTATTATCACTTGCACCAAATTGTTGCTAATTTGGTCTAAAATGCATCAACGTCTAATGGGATACCTTGATATTCACAATCAATAGGTGTTCACTACACTGTAAATGTTGAAATTTTTTTCATAAGGAATCCTAATAGAACTTTGCGCACATCAGACCCCGTTGTGGGGACTATCAAATGTGATATTTTATTGCAAAAGAAAATAAACTGGAGGTACTGTAAATCTAAAATAAAAAGGAAGACAGGTTATGCCCAAAATGTTCAACTTTTTTTTTTACAGTGATTGACTTGTGGTGGATTTGCAGAATTTCTGTTATAACTTAAATGCGACTGAGTATTCTTGTGAGAGTTATTTCTCAATCTATCTGTAACCAATTACTCTCCGTCAAGATCAACTCCATCACGAGCAATTCAGACTAAAAGGTAATGGGTTTGATTTCAGACAAGGTAGCAGCTAGGACAATACAATTCGCTGCAAAACTCCTAGGCTAGGAATGTGAGGTCTGCCAGGATTAACATCACTCATCACTTTCCAACAACCCCTGTTGGAAGGTACACATTTGAACATTTGGGGAAAACAAGATTAGGCGTGGCTGTGACGCCTTCCACAATCAAATGGTCTATTAACAATTGCTGATGACAACTCGTTCTTGTCCCCTCCTGGTGGGCCCACATGTACATTTTCCAGCTTGTGTCACTGGACATCAGGAGCCAGAAACCTGCCTAGATTCACTTTTTATAATGCAGACAAGCTGGGACTTTACCATCAAATTTGAGATAGGATCAGGACAATCATAAGAGTGCACAGCTAAGATATAGAATCAAGATGAGAAAGAATCAAAGTGAAGAAAATCCTTTGACACTTTGTGGAGAAAAGCATTAAAAGAAGAGTAATTTCTGTGACATTCTTTGCTAGTACAACATACTCTGACTGAGATATAAACAGTATGCATACAGTAGATGTATACAGTCTGTTTTGTATCTTTACGCAGTAAAATGTTTTAACAAGGACAAGTACTAAGGCTGTTATGCTGATGGCAGTGGAAAGCAACCTGATACAATACAATATACAATACAAAATTACATTTGTAAAGCATCTTTCACATCGGGAGGACGTCCCAAGGCGCTGAACAGTCAGGGATTATTGTCCTAAGGGATTGGGGGGGGGGATTGGGATCAGGGAGGGTGGAGGACAGAGAGGGTGGCCAAAGGCATGATCGAAGAGGAGGATCTTGAGGTGAGCCTTGAAGGAGGCAAGGGAGGGAGTGAGGCGAAGGGAATGTGGGATGGAGTTCCATTGGGTGGGGCAGAGATCCTGATGGTGGTGCGGGCCAGTCAGGGCACATGAACCAGGCCAGCGCCTGCTGAACGGAGGGAGTGGACAGGTTGATAAGGGGTTAGCATGTCAGAGAGGTAGGAGGGGCAAGACCATAGAGGGTTTGAAGATGAGGATGAGAATTTTGAACTCGATCCTCTGAGGGATGAGGAGCCAGTGGAGCCAGGCGATGGTGGGTGTTGTACGGTCACGGAGCCTGGTGCGGGAGAGAATATGAGCTGCAGAGTTCTGGATGACCTGCAACTCGTGGAGGGAAGAGTTGGGAAGGCCGACAGCGGGTGTTGGCAGAGTCAAGCCCGGTTGTAATGAAGGCATGTATGAGGATTTCGGTGGCCTGGGGGTTGAGGCATGGTGGAGTCGGGCAATGTTGCAGAGGTGGGGGAAGGCAGAGCGGGTCATGGCACAGATGTGAGGGACAAAGGACAGTTGAGGGTCAAACAAGATGCCTAGGTTCCTAACTGGCTTGATGAGGTGGATTGTTCATCTGATGGTTCTTTATGAAATGTAATTTTCTGGTATAACTTCCAAATGGTTAATGAATTCCCTCAGATTGCCTATTTATTAATGCAAATCCTTCAGACAAATCTTCCTGAAAATGGGAGTCTGGGATCGCTCCATAATTTAACACTATCATGGATCAAATCCAAAAGCCTTTCCGTCAGTTACTTTAGGGGATTTCAGCTCTTAACATCTGGTATACATTTCTCAGGAAGTCAAAAAGGGGAGCAAGTCATTAAAGAGAAGATTTATCAAGGGTAGAAAGGAAATAGTTTACATCTGAAAAGCTATATCCACTGGCTGAACATCAATGAATTTGGCACCTACGCTATGTCTCCAACAAAATGGGTGCATTTTCTGCTTTGAACACTAAGTTGTGATTCACACCCTGGATCTGGCAATATTGTGGGGAACGACAACAACAATAACAACAACTTACATTTATATGGCAACCCTCACACAGGGTGGCGTCCCAGAGCGTTTGACAATGGTGGAACATGACTCCATGCTGGGGGGGAGGGAGAGGTGTCCCTAGGCATGGTCGAAGAGGAAGGTTTTCAGGCATGATCTGAAGATGGGGAAGGAGGGGGCAAGGCGTAAGGATAGAGGAAGAGTGTTCCAGAGTTTTGGGGCATAGTGGCTGAAAGAGCAGCCACCAATGGTGGAATGAAGGGCATGAGGGACATGCAGAAGGTCAGAGCCAGCTGCTTGAAGGCAGCAGGTTGTGGTTGGGGAGGGAGTAAGCAGGTTGAAGAGGTAGGGAGGAAGAGGAGGCAGAGGGAGCATGGTCACAAAGAGGGAAGACGTCGTTTGTGCCCTTGACAAGCGTCGTCTCTGTACTATGGGCAGGGCGGAAACCCGACTGGAGGGGCTCGAGGAGGGAGTGGAGGGAGAGGCGAGAGCAAAGGTGGTTAGTGACAATGTGTTCCAGAGCTTTGGCAAGGAAGTGGAGGTTGGAAATGGGACGGTAATCTGTGAGGTTGGAGGGGGTCAAAGATGTTTTTTTGAGGAGGGGAGTGATGACAGCGGTTTTAAGTGGGAGAGGAACGAGTACAAGGACAACAGCCTTGCAGCTCCTTTGAAGAACTGCACACAATTGGCAACCAGGGTGTGCATTATAGTTCACAGCTTGCAGTTGTATGAGCAGTGTTGTGGCAGGGATTGCATTTAAAGGGAGCTACATCATCAAGTAACATTTGTCACACGCAGAAATGCCACGGGTTAGATTCAGTTAGATTCAATCTGGCTTTCATTACCATCTGCAGCATAATTTTCAGAGTAGTTCCACATTTAAAGTGTTCCAAATACTCTTCTTAAAATCACAAGCGATCTCCATCGCTGCCATGTTGATCCTGCTGTGGAGCTTGTATTTCAGTATAGTTTTACAACCCAATGGAGTCCCTTTAATGTCACATAAAATGTTGAAAACGTTTTGCACAGTGTGTGAAACTGGAATTTGGGAGCATTTGTTACAAAATACTGTAAGTAAATACAAACAGTGACTGGATATAGCAGAATATGCTGACAAGAATCGAATGTATGTCAAATCCTAAAAAACTACTTGGGGATGATTTACTCCATGCAGTGTATTTATTGATATGGGTTTATTGTCACAATCAATGTGTCACTAAGTTCACCAAATAACTGTAATTTCAGTTTTACAGTGCTGTAGAAAGCTTATCCACACATCAATTAACTACAAGCCTGTTTTACCACATATGCCTCCCATGTGGAAATTAGACCCTGGGCAGAAAGATACTGGCATAACATATTGTTGTACTCAGTGATCAAGTTCCTGATGTGGTTTCCTTGGATGCAATGACATGTCGCCTAACAAACAAGTCAAACAAGCCTGCGAGTAACTTCACATGTACTCACCAAACATAATTTGTATTGACAGGAACAAAGTATTATTTTGTTGATGAAAGAGATGGAACCTGTCCTTATTTGAAAGTATTTAAAAGCAGTCACTGATATTTTCCTGCTTGAAGCAGTGATGCCAATTGATGATTCCAGGTGACAAATCGACAAATTTAGTGTTTACTATAGTTTGAGCCTGGGACTTTCTCAGTCTTCCTGGCTCAATTTGACTCCATGTTTTGTCAACTGAGTTATTGTTAGTGAATATTATCGTATCCCATTTGCTGGCACCTGGGCTTCAACATTTATCAGCTGCACGGAGCATCTTGTCTGCTGATGGCCACCGTGCAGAATTTTCGTCCAAGTACAGTCAATTCTGAGACATGTTCATCAGGATTCAGTTGCACCCAATGGCTAAAATAGTACAGCCAATGGAAAAAGGTGTTCATGAATGAAACAGGCAATGCTGCAACAGTGGTGAAAAAGCGTGTGACCATCTCACATGTTCATACAAAGAAATACAATCATAAAATGATGTTATTTCCACAGGTTAATGGGAAGGATCTCTCAAAAGCGACCCATGAAGAAGCAGTGGAAGCTTTCCGAAATGCAAAGGATCCTATTGTTGTCCAGGTTTTGCGAAGAACACCTGTTGCCAAGAACCATGCCAATGCTCAGGACCGTCAGCTGTTGGATGTTGCCACACAGACAGAAATCACCTTTGAGCACATCATGGCTCTCTCCAAACTGAGATCATCTTCACCTCCAGTCCCTGATATCTGCCCATATTTGTTATCAGACAGGTACAACTCACAGTTTCTTATCCATCGCATGCCACTTTAGAGACTGAAAGCGTGTTCCAACTTGAAGCAGATAATTCTTATTTTCACTTTGTGAGTGCAATCTGACCTATTTTATCCACAAAACTCATCCCTGTGATTCATTTGTAGGGTTCATTTTCATTTTTCTGAATGTGCCTCACGTGATTGTCTCTATTCCCAAGTTTCCTCCCTTAGCTGGGAAAATGATAAAACCTCATCCACAGATGAGAACCACCACTGGCTACCAGACCCGATATCGGTCAATAGAAGGCATGTTTTGTAAAAATTTGTTTTTTTTGTTCATTTGAAAAAATGCATCTATTGTAGATAGTCATGTTTCAACTGGCAGCGAAAACTGGAATTCCTCATTATGAAATTCTCAATTCTTTTCTGTAGCTTGTTTGCCCCAGATTGTAATCCTCTTTGTTGGGGTGATGGGCAAGCCATAGCCAGAGGTTTGTGCTTTTAATCTTGCTGATGCTACTGTAGTATACCTGGGTAGAGATTTCCCCAAATTGGCTTTGAATTGCAGTCTTTGAAACATTTATTTCATAATGTTTTGGAGTTTAGCAAATCAAATCTGAACTGAGTGCTCACTTCAACTGAACTCGCTCAGTTCAGTTTACTGTTTCCTTAATTTTCATCAAAGGCAACACAAGTAATTTGAGCAAAAGGTATCTATCCCTGACAGATTTTTCAGGCAACCAGAGGCTGCATAAATAGGCTTCTTCGCTGTAAATCCTGTCAAAAAACTAAAGTTTTTAATTTTTAAAGAGACAATGGGTATTTTTTTGCTGATGGTTTATTTGTTCTTTGTTGAAAATAATGGTGAAACTAATTAGTTTGGCAATATGATTTTGATAGTATTCAAAAAGCTGTTGGTCAGTTCTGTCATAAGTCATTGGAAAGATAATATTGTCATTTAGAGGACACAGGGCTGATGAACAGCGATGCCAGCTATCAGGAATTTACGTTCGAAGGAAGTTGAGCTTGTTTTCTTTTGAAAAGAGGAGATTTTTAGGTGATGTAATGAAAATGTTCAACTTTACAAAGCAATTAATGCTCTTATTCTGACGAATTTTGATGGTTCAAATATCAGGGGACAAAAATGAAGAAGATAGAGATAAGAGGGGAAGTCAAGCAGAGCATGATCATTCATAGGGTAATAGATTTATGGAGTATGTTAGCAGGGTGAAGCACTGAAGCAGACCATACAAATTGGTTCACAAAGGAAGGCTCCTGGATACAAGGAATTAAATGATATGGTGAAAAGGTGGGATTGAATTATCAAAATGGAGTGAACTTGTTGGCTCTTTCTAAACATGATTATGTGTATAGGCCTGAATAATATCAAAAATATCTGCTAAGATACATAATATGTTATTTCCTTAGTTTTAATATGTCTTAGATAATTCAGAACCCAGTTAACACACCAGGATTGTGTGACTTTGGAAGACGATTAAATTTAACACATCCTTTTCAGCCAGCTTGCTCTCATTCCTGTTATGTTTGGCTGCTTTCCTCACACAGCTGCCACTCTCTGCATCCTATGGCGCATGACTATTACGAAGCTAATGATTATCTTCCCAACTTACCTCCTGACGGCGACCGAGCAGATGAACTGGAGTATGAGGTAAGATGAAGTCCCATTGAAAAGCAGATCTGTTCAGTGTCTCAGTTTCAAAGTACTTTGTAACTACCTTTAATAAAGGTTTTGTGTCATTAGTGGCAGCTTTTGCCATCCTCATTTTCAAGCCAACTTGGCAGCACTTTATAAATGTAATTAGCCACATTCTGAAGGGTATTATGTGAATTCACTCTCAAAAACAAGGGTGAAAACTTAACAGATAAAAATAAAGGGGAGAGCAAGCTGATGAAGAGCAAAAATGCACCTTATAATGTCTTGAATGCATGAACTTTACAGAGATATTTCTTTCTGAACCGGGCATTTCTGTATAAAATTAAGAATTGAGAAGAATTACATTTTTTTCAAAATGTATATGTTGGCCAGTTAACACATTTTAATACCTGTTTCAAGACGTTTCATTTGGGATAAATGGGAAAGCAGATATCAGATGGAACATTAAAACGGACTTTAATATGACATACTGCTGCTGAGCCATTCTTGCTGCTAATTCCTAATAATGGAAAGCCTGTGTATTGTGACAGGGCTGAATGCTGCTCAAGCAGGTTTTCAATAGCCTGTAATCTCTACTAATCGCACCATCAGAGTCATTAATTTACCATCAGCTGTGATTTTATAGCCCGAGGCAAAGCTCCTAACTGAAATAAAGAGTATTCGGGATGAAATTGAAATAGAAAAAGTGCCCTTCTCACACAAAAACCTCTTCAAATAACAGGGTGAATAAAACATTATGATCCATTCTGCTTTCTAAAAAAANCGCTTCAAAGCGATTGAAAAGGAAATTATTCCAATTTTGTGAGTGACAACAGGAAAATAGATTTATTTTTGTCATACCAGGGTATGTCAAAGGAGACATGTTTGAACTTATTGTACTTTTTAATAAATGAAAAATGTCTATCAATGAAGAGCATGAATATTTATATTCTTTGCGTACAGTTGTGCACCACCTTGTTCAATACTGTGCATTTTATCTGCAACAATATACACAGCTAACAAACTACCATACTGGTTATATTTATTAATAATGTAGAGATAAAGAATGATTGTCAACAAACAAGACTGCATTCTCTTTCTAAAAATTGCCACCAGATAGGTTATATTATGTTGGCAAAAACGCAAAATACTGCAGATGCGAAATCTGAAACAAAACTTTTCTTATATTATGGTGGTGTCGGCTATAATTCATGGCGACATCTTGCTACTCATAATCTCAAACACGGTGAATGTGCAAAAGGCAATATTCCCTGTAGGCCCAAAGGTGAACAAGACGGATGTCTGTGGAGGTGAGGAAAATGGAAAGACCAGCCGTGGTATTTCAGTTTGTGTTGTGTGAATATGGTCACAGATGGCTGCTCAAAGAATGCAATATCCACGTTGGACATGTACAAAAATGATGACAGAGTGCAGGACGATAAATTAAAGAGGCAGCTTTTTCTTGTCTCCGACCTGGGATATGGTTATACATGTTTCCAATAACTAAAAAAGTGGCTGGTAATCAGGCCTGTCCTTTACAAGAAAATTTTGGAAAAGATCGGTGGCCATTTATTCTGTCGTTTGTCCATTGTTAATGGTTCAGGGTTAGACCATTTTTTGCACTAAAAGGGAGGAAATAATTCTTCAGCATCTGTGCATTAGTTTTGTCTAATTGACTTGAGCCAAGTTTGAGCGCTTCCTTGAATCAGAGTACAGTGCAGGTGACATGACACAAATACATGTATTGAGGGTTTTAGTGTCTGGCTCGGTGTCAGACTCTGCCATTGTCAAGCACTCTGGGACGCTAGCCCGTGTGAAGGGCGCTATATTAGTACAAGTTGTTGTTATTCTTGTTTTTATATATTGCTGCACATTCGGGAGAGCTGGCAAAGCCAGGGTTGATTATAATAAAGGATAAAATAGGCCAAGGCAGGGTGAATGGGGTCATGGGGATTTGATGGACACCCCAAAATGGGTAAGATTGGGTCATGACCATTTTTGGAATGGTTTTTGTATGTGGTGTGATAAAAATAATTTGGTCACTCAATCCACGACTGTTTGTGGGACACTGCTGTGCGCAATTGGCTGCCGCATTTCGCCCATAAAATATACAGTCCATTCACTTTACAGTATTTTCTGTGAAGCGCTTTGAGATGTCTCGAAGATGTGATAAGGCGCTATATCAAATGCAAGGATTATTATTATTACCTATGAACTGTGTTGGGCCTGGGGCAGGAGTGACATGTGCCTACATCTGCTGTTGTTTCTCAAACTCCAAATCTTAATCAGGAACCGTGTCAGAATTTCCATCAATGAATGGGAACTCTAATCCAGAACGTTGGCATGACACTTCTCTCATTTTCTCCTACCTAATCCTCTGCACTCCCTCTGCACTCGGAGTGTGTGTATCCCGCCTTCCTGCGCACCACCATCGGTAGCTGAGTCTTCAGCTGCTAAACCTCTAACCCCTGAAACTCTCCCCCTCTACCTCTCTCTATCTGTCTTTAAATCCTACCTAAAAATTACCTCCAAGTATGCCTATAGTCATTTTGCCCTTCTCTCTTACTCAGCATCCGACCCGTCATTGGTGAAATGCTCCAAGACATGAAGGGAGCTGCATCAATTCAAGTTGTTGTACTTTGGATACGTGAAGGCGGCCTTGATTTGCCTGATTATTGAGGAACCTTGTTAAGAAATACCACAAATTAGACCCTTTGTCTCCAAGTCGCACTGTTGAATATGCAGGGAGATTACAGCTGAGCACTATGTCACTTTTGGAGCCCTCTGCAAGGTGCAATTGAAAGCTTATCCAGCCCATTAGTTCACATGCTTCAACTTCCAACTTGTCAGGACTGAGCACGTTCCTAATGAGATATGTACTGCTTTACTTTTCACATTGCGGCCAGCTGTGTCTTCCCTACTATCGGAAATGAGAGAAGAAGGATGGCGTCCAGGCTTTTTTAAATCAAACGCATTGTTTGTGCAGTAGATCAAAAGCATGTCAAGATAAGCAATTCTCTTGTTTTTCACAAATAATTGTTGTGTTGTGCAGTTGTCTTGTAACCATCTTTTTAACCTTTTCAAATATTTATGAGAGTGATTGAGTGTCAAGCCCCAGTGTCATCCAGGGATTGGAGGGTTGAAGTGATTTATTAGTTTTGCATTATAATTTTATTTGCCATCCCGGGTAGCTCTGTTGGTTGACACCAGACGTGGAACTAGAAGTTTCCCCATCAAAGTCCTTTTGAGGTCAGTAGAATAAACAACATCTCCCTGGGGTTGAATCAACGTAGAGGAGACTTGGGCAGTAATGTGAGGTAATGTGACCAGCAGGTTTGGCTCAAAGAGGTTTGGAGATGTTGTGGTCAAAGTGTCAAAGTCTCTTATCTGAGTAAGTACTGTAAAATGAAATTTGTCAGTGCCTTGTTCTGGTAGGCTTTGCAATTCTCATAGGCTATGATGTTTAGAATTTCACTGACTATACAGCAATATCTTCTTAACTATTGACACCATCTTTGGCACCCCTGTTGGAAGCCAACAACAACAGCTACAACAAAATTACACTTATAGAGCGCCTTTCACGTCGGAAGGACATCCCAAGGCGCTGAAGCCACACCTCTTTAAACAGATCAGAGGTTCTTTGCTGAATATTTCTCATATGGCCCACATTTGAGCACATATGCAAGACTAACAAAATCTCGCAATAACTATTTGTGTGCAAGTGATGAAAAAAACATATTTTGCAAAGGAAACTAAAGGATCCATTTAATATTAATGTTTAATTTGCGATACTTGCCAAACGGAATCATTGCAACCTCTGGTTTAAAAAATTCATGGCCAACAATGTGTAGATCCCAAGCAGGCAAAGTCTGGAAAAGTAAACAAAATGGTCACATTGGATTATTTTACAGAAGACTTCATCAGACTGAATTGAGTTTAAGTGCCAAAAGATAGGTCTCTATCATTCTGAAGTCCTTGAGGCAGAGAATGGGACTGCAAATGCTTGAAAGCTTTAAATGAGCCAAACACCCTTCATCCTTCTCTCTTGCTCACCTCTTTCTATTGTGGAATCCCATAGCATAGTGGTTAGCACACTCGCCTTGCAAGTGAGAGGACCCGGATTTGATTCGGGGGGAAACCTTGGGCAAGTTTCCTTACTCCGCACGCCTCTGATTACCTAGCAATAAGTATGAACCTGGTTGTTAGTATATTAGCGGATTGCTTTCCGGGCATAATAATCCCTTAAAAAAAAATTGGGTCACTCGATCCACAGCTGGGACACTGCTGTGTGCAATTGGCTGCCGCGTTTCGCCCAGAAAATAATAATAATAATCCTTGCATTTGATATAGCGCTTTTCACGTCTTCTAGATGTCTAGTATATACTGTAAAGTGAATTGACTGTGTATTTCTGGGCGAAACGTGGAAGCCATTTGCGCACAGCAGTGTCTCACAAGCAGTCGTGGATTGAAGCGACCAATTTTATTACATTGTTTTTCTTGAAGGATTATTATCAGGCGTGTGGAGTAAGAAAACTTGCCCAGGGTTTCGCCCTGCTGGGAATCAAACCCAGGTCTCTCGCTTTGCAAGGTGATTGCTCTAACCACTGAGCTACAGGACTCCCAATACATAGTCAATCCACTTTACAGTATATTCTGTGAAGCTCTTTGAGACGTCTCAATGACATAATAAGGCGCTATATCAATTTTTTTATTTGCATTTTTTAAATCTATTATTACAGCATGCTGTTTCTGCAGCATTGAAATCCATTTGCCAGTAGTAAAACTTTTGGAGGCTGCTTGGAAGTACCTGTGCCTTTACAAAGCATCGCTAAAAACTAGTTTATTTGACAATAATCTAGTTCCATGAAATTAGAAATAATACGCTAAATTAAAACACCATTATTTTGTTTGATGTTTTGTTTTGAATCCCAGCTTTTGTGCTTCTTCATCAGCCTTCTAATGAAGCAAGTACATTTATTCTGTGAATACCCCAGCGCTCCCGAGATTAGAGGAATCGGGAGAATTAAATGTCAATGATTTGCCTCCCTCTTACAGTATGAGCACATTAACAAACAGTTAATTTGAAAGGTTGGTGCATTGCAAACAGAAATGTCGGTGCCCCAGTGGTTAATTGTGCAAAGCAGCTGGAAGAAGCCATACTTTGTGTTGCTGGAATGTTTATGCTCTGTAAGTTATGCCGGTGTTTACAATCACTCTCTGCAAAATGCTGACATTCAGTGCACCTGTGACAGTTGTCATCCATAGCTGTCACTGGTAATGAATTTCCCAATTTACTTAGCTGTTTCCCACCCTTCAGTAGTATGTGTCACCCAGCTGGGGAAAAATATCTGGGTGACACAGAGGATGCATGAACAAATATGTCAGACTGCTTCCAAATGTATTTCTTTTCAGTACTTGTTAAGAAATGATTTAAGATCAGAAATGCCCTGCATGTTTTAGTCCTGTATGGGGAACAAATGCAGAGAAAGCAGCAGAAGGATTTCTTTGTGTCTAGCTTCCCTATTCAAACCGAAAGTAGAAAATTAATTCATGCCTTTGCAATAGCATTGTGTTGTGTTTATTAAATGATGGTGAATGATATCGGTTTAATATCTGTAATATGATTTTTAATTTAAAAAAGAATTAGCCGTCATTGTCATCATTTATTTCTGTCCTGTCTTCCTCTGCCTCCCTCTTTTGTTCACTTGTTTGAGTGTTCCTTCCCAATCCCTTTATCTCTTCTTTGTACTAACAACACAGTGCTTTAGCTCAGTGCAGGATAGCATTCAGCTATCTTTTTCACAATTGTGCTTTTTTTTTTGCATGTTAATGCATAACCATCTTTTGCATACCGAATGACATTAATATCTCTGTTTGAAGCACATTAATATTCAGATGTGTTTTAATCGGCGTTGGGACTGATTCTGGATCATAAAAGCTTAGCGATCTTGAGATAATTTTTTTTTATCATATCACATTCATCCAATTGGAATACAAGCACGGCCTGAATTATGTTTATGAATGGGATCAATCATTGATTGAATGACTAATCCCAAGTGCTGTGTGTTAGTTAACGTGATTGGATGAAAGAAGTGTCCAGAGCTCCTGAAGTACAGAGGTCTTATGTCTTTTTCTTTTGTGGTATTTATTCGACTCGGGCTTTGCAATATCCTGGAGAGTAAAGATAGCTTATAACCGCAGTGGATAATGTGTTGCTATTCCAGATTGTTGGGACATGCAGGAGGCTACAATTTCACTGTGAATCTGTCCTATGAAATTGTACTTGAGAATGCAGTGCAGTCACCTGAAGTATAGGCACAGAGACAGCAGCAAAAGTCATGCGTTTAGACTCAGGCTTGGTAAATGTGCTCAAGACTGGCAGCATGTCCTTGGGAAAGAATACAGCTCTGGCATCACATAATAATAAAAATAATCCTAATAAAAATAAAAATTGCATTTGATAGAGCGCCTTATCACATTGTTGAGGCGTCTGACGTGAAAAGCGCAGTACAAATGTAATGTGTTGTTCTTTGTTGTTCTCAAAAGCGCTTCATAGGATATACTGTAAAGTGGAGTGACTGTGTATTTTGTGGGCGAAACACTGCCGCCAATTGTGTACAACAGAGTCCCACAAGCAGCCGTGGATTGAATGACCAAATTATTCTTATTTTTATTTATTTATTTATTTTGGAAGGGATTATTACCCCTGGAAAGCAATCCGCTAATCGACTAACAGCCAGGTTCCTACTTACTGCTAGGTAAACAGAGGGTGCAGAGTAGGGAAACTTGCTTAAGGTTTTGTCTTGCCCGGGAATTCAACCCGGGTTTGTGTGCTCGTACTGAGCCATACATTGTAACCTGAACATCCTAGCTCTTTGTGTATTAAAAGTTGGATAAAATACTAAAAGTTGGATGAAAGGCTGTGAGTTGGTATTTTACTCCACGAAACAACAACTTGCATTTATAGTGCCTTTCACACGTAGTGGTGTCTCAGAGCGCTTTACAGTGGCATAGTTTGATGCCGTGCCGGGGAGGAAGGAGAGGTGACCGTAGGCACGGTCGAAGAGGAAAGTCTTCAGGTGCATTTTGTGATATAACATTTTCTGCTGGTGCAAAAGGCCACTTGAGTAAGATACAGTGTGGCTTTCATTGATGACAGAATTGTATGAATCACTATTATGATAGAATCAATGGCAAAAAAACTGGATTCAAAAAGGTGATCTAATTGTGCAAAATTAGGATGAAGATGAAGGATCTTCAAGTTTTATTCCTTTGTGTTTTATTCACTTAAAAGATACATTTTCAGGGAAGTGTTGTTCAAGTGCTAATGTTTTGATTCCTGAAAGTGGCATTATATTGGGATTACCATTAAATTCAAACTTCTATTGAAATGATAAGAAATTGAGCTGCGCTTTCAGTACATTGATGTGTCCTTTTTGTGTGTTAGACACGGCTTCAAGTAAAATTAATCTTTTACTGGTGTCGTCCCAAAACTGATGGTGTAACCCGCTGTAAATAATTCATGCGCAAACAAAAGCACATTTGTTGTTGTGGGCACGTAATGTATGTGAAATATTTACAGAATGTTTAAAACTGTCACTCACTTTGAAAATGTATTTACTGGAAAACGAACATTCAGCGTGTGAGATCCGTGAAGCCTCTGCGGGCTATCGTGTTTTTAAAAAGCTATACTGACTGCTGTGTAGTTTGGAGAGGGAACAAAGAGATGAAATTGAATGCTTTCACTCTTTTTTTNGCAGGAAGTTGAACTGTGTCGCGTCAGCAGCCAGGAGAAGCTGGGCTTAACTGTCTGTTACAGGACAGACGATGAAGATGATAGCGGGATCTATGTCAGTGAGGTAAGATAATGTGTAAGGAAGCAACAGCCTTTGTGATGTGACTGTCGAAGCCTGGCGTTGTGCCAAGTGTTGTCAGCTCTAATTGCCATAGTAAATTGCATTGCCCGGGTAATATGATTATCACAGCCTATTTATTTTAAGCAAATGTTTTAATGCTGGATCTTAATTACGGAACATTGTCAGAGCCAGGAAAAAAAGTACTTGATGATGAAAATTGGGTTGACGACACACAAATAATTAAATTTTTAAACAAAGGCAGTACTAAGGAAGTCGTCAAAGATTCCGTTCTACACTGCGGAAGTCCAATTGGAAAATCTGATCAGTGCATTGTTTGGAAGCAAATAGTTATAGATCTAAAAAAAAATCCATGCATAATCACATGATGTGACTTCCATGCATAAACCAGATGATGGGATGTCCCGTCGACGTGAAAGGTGCTATATAAATGCAATTTGAAAGGTGTCATACAACAGAGGGGAATCTTTCTAAAAAGTTGTTAAAAGAGAAGGATGTTACAGTGAAACTGTTGAAGAGGGTTTCTCTTTTAACAGAGAATGAGATAATGTGTGTCTGAACAAACGTAGATATGGCAAATGTAGCAACTGCAGTCAAATCTGCGAGGTTAGGAATTTTGCCAGTTTGTAAGAAATCCAGAATTAACCATGGCTCCAATAACCTGTGCCAAAGGGAACTGGCAAAACCACAATTCACTTGAAATGCAGCCTGTTTTGTCCTGCTGTCAATCACATGATTACCTACAGAGATCATTTTTTCCCGTAGAAAACAGCAGATCACAACATTGGTTTGGATGAAGAAAGCCCTTTGGCTCATCCAATCTCAACTTTCCAGAACACACACTCGACTATCCCCACATCACAGTATCAAGCTGCTTTTTAAATGAATCTAGTCTTCAACCAAACAATTTTTCTGGCAACCTTTGAGTATTGATGAAAAATTACCTCTGTATGTAATCATGTGGTTGACAGCAGGATAAAACAGACCTCATTTTAAGTGAATTGTGGTTTTGCCAGTTAATTACCCACTAAGTACATAAGAAAATCCTGGTATCTGTCCTGAAATCACCCTTTACAACTCTATGTTCTCTTGATCTCCTGGCACATCCTAAAGTGTTGATCTGGGTTTGCTTTTTCAGTCCCATTTAAAATTTTGTGCACTACTAAGAGGTTCCCTCTGAGTTGTCTTCTTCGAAGACTAAAGAGTCCAAGCTTGTCTAATCATTGCTCAAAGCTTGTCTAATGATTGTTCAATGTGATACATTTTCCTTTTCTATGACAGTATAATAATGAAAAAACTATCTTTGATTCCATAATGTTTCCCTGTTACAATGTTGTAATGGTGAAGATTTAAAACGTATCTAAATGATTAGATCTTGATGCCCTTCAGAAGTTGCAAGAGGCCTTCAGACTCTGAGAAGTTGGGTGTGTAGGCAAGATGACCAATTATCTACTCTTGCCTTAAAATGTTTCTATTTTACAAGTGCTTCTCTCTCTGTCCTCTCAATACAGTCAGAATTTCAAATGTACAATTGTCCCCACATGCAAAACTTCAACACACAATAAACATACCATAAAAGTACAGTGTGAGTGCACCCTGTTTGGATAACCCACACTTCTCCTGCTTCCCTCCCTGACCCCACAGGTAGCGCCTGCACAACTGGAGATTTAATTTATGAATCTTCCTTAAAAAGCATTCTTGTTACAAAATACTAAAAAACTGGACTTTCAGAGCTTATCATGAGCAGTACTCAAAAACATTTTGTGTTATTTATGACCTTGTTTTTAATACCACTGATTAACCAAAATAAAGAATTCAGCACCTTCCTAATCAAAAATGTTTCATTTCTAAAAGTCATAATAATAAGTTGCATTTATACAGTGTCGCTTTGTAAAAATAAATGTCTCAAAGCACTTTACATAATTTAATTGATTGGTGATGAAGCAAATGTTGTTATGTAGACTAATTTGCACAAGCATTATCCCAGATATAATGAGATAAGTAGGCAATTTATTTGATTATGTAGTTAAAGAATATGACTACCTGAGTCTCAATTTACTCTGCATAACATTTCAGAACTTCCAGAATTGAGCAAATGACTGAGTGAAGTCTTAATTTTGATGTTAGTTTCTTTCATTCTTCAGAGAACTTATTCAAAATTAAAGCTGAATTTAAGAATTTGCCAGATTGTGGATGAGTTGAATTGCTAAGTATATCGAATAAATCTAGACCCAGGTGGAATTTCTATCCCACCATTCAGTATTCAGTGTTCATCTGCTTTGTTTTAATAAAGAAATGGTGTCGATCACACAGATTGTAAACAGCATACTTTTGTATGGAAGCAGAAACAGACCTTGAATCCACATACATACACACACACACACACGCAATGCTTTTAAAATAAAAATACCCAAGGTTATTTTTCCTGCTTTAGACAAGAAAAAAATATCCTTTAATTCGTGAAAGTGCAGCTATCTTACTGAAAGCAATTCATGGTAGAACACCAAACCTGAATTCATTGTCAAATTACCTACCTGAATTTAAAATACCAATTTAATGTAGACCAACATTGCGCAATAGTGCCTCTTCATAATTAACTGTAAAGTGTTTATCAATAGACTTGCAGCAATTAAGGACTGGGAGGGGTAGTGGGTTGGACTTGAGTTCCAATACAGTCCAGACTGATGGGGTAAAGGTCTCTTTTCTCTGCTGGCTGTACAAGTCCTACTTGAAATTGATTTTAGTCCAGTTCCTGGTGGAAATGGCCACAAAGCATGAACTTGTCTCTAAATTATCTCTGAATGCAACCTCCCGTCTGAGAAATAATGAGTATGGCTGATGTGGGAAACAAAAGCATTATGTAAAAAATAGCCATGTTTGGACTCAAAACAACAATTGTGGTCCATCCAGAAGGTACCATTTTTTAATAAATGTTTTTATCATCCTACACTATTCTATCCTTTGTTCTTCTTTCATGCCTTTGCCAAATAGCAACTTCACTCTTAAATTCACTGACACTAAAATAGTAATAATAATAATAATATGAATATTAATGCTTGCATGTGGTATTGCGCCTTTCATGTCGGCAGAAAATCTCATAGGACTTCGTAGGATTCAAAAATGAATGTGGCTATATAACAGCAGGAACACCACCTTGTAATTGTCCCTTTCTCCCCCTAAATAATAATGAGCTATGTCATTTTCTCTGTGCAAGGATAGACATCATACACGCTCATTTTCCTATTTCCCGCAACTCACTGTGTTGAAATTAAGACTCATTAAGACTCATTGCACCATCTCCTACTCATTCTTACACTCAAGACTATGGAGCTGCTTGTCTTACTCCAGCTTCCCTCCCTCAAATTCCCATTCCCTTACAGTGAGACAAAATTTAGAAAGAATTTCGGGCCTTCAGCCTTTCTACCCCCACCTTTTGTAACTCCATCCTACAGTCCTTCACTTCCCTCCCTTGCCTCCTTCAAGGCCAGTCTCAAGACCCTCCTCTTCAACATTGCATTCGGTCAACCTTCTGTCCCTACCCTCCCTGCCCTCCAAACCTCCAGATACCAACTCCCATCTTGGATCCTAATCCCTAAATGTCAATGCATCTGTCACATCAAGGCTTGATTATGGGAATTCCCTCCTCATTGGCCTTCCCAACTCTTCCCTTCACAAGCTGCAGATCATCCAAAACTCTGCAGCTTGTGTACTCTCGCGAACCAGGCTCCGTGATCCCATCACTACCAGCCTCGCCCAACTCCACTGGCTCCCCATCCCCCAGAGGATCAAGTCCTCACCTTTAAGGCCATCCATGGCCTTGCCCCCTCCTACCTCTCTGACCTGCTGACTCCCTACCAACTTGCCCGCTCCCTCCATTCAACGGGCTACGGCCTGCTCCATGTCTCCTGCCCTACCCACCTTGCCATCGGTGGCCGGGCTTTCAGCCTCTCTGCCCCCACACTCTGGAACTCCATCCCACGGTCCCTTCGCCTCGCTTCCTCCCTTGCCTCCTTCAAGGCCGGTCTCAAGAACTTTCTCTTCGACCGTGCCTTTGGTCTCCCTCCCACCTCTCTGCCTTCCCTCACCCCTACACCACCCCTCCCCTATTCTCGGGCCCCGACACCTGACTGTTCAGCGCTTTGGGACGTCCTCCCGACATGAAAGGTGATCTATAAATGTAATTTTGTTGTTGTTGTTATTGTCAAGCGCCTTGGGATGTCCTCCCGAGTTTGAAAGTGCTATACAAATGTAATTTGTTGATATTGATGTTTATCACATCAAATCTGCCGGAGGCAGAGTCCCCAATGACGTGCTCAATTCTGATGTCACAAAACCGAGCTTCTGACAGTGGATTTCTGGCTTGTGGCTCATAGCCTTTGACTAGCAGAATATCATTGTTACTTAACAAAAATCTCAGATAAGTCAGTATTTTGCCAACTGGCAAACAAGGCCTTACACTGGAAGAAGTCCAAAGCAGTGGGCCTGCTTCACTGATGTCGCCATTGATAACGGCAAAGGGAAATTTTGTCCCCTTACTTCACTGTTTCTACAACAGTCGCTGTTTTGAAAATTTATATCAGTAGACTTGTTGCATGTATTTCAACTAAACTAAGCATGTTAGGCTGCAAGAAACCTAGTGTGAGTGAAAAGATCACAGTTTATGTGATAGCTACTTCTGCCTCTATGGTGAATGTGGCTGCCTATATTTCAAACCCAGTAACTTAAACATCACTTCCAACCCTTTAATTGTATCATAGCAATGTATACATACTTGAAACCTGTTATGAGTTTATTTTATCCACAGCTACAAGCAACACACTTTAGCCAGATTGAATGCAGTGTGGATGTGCATTAAAAAGCACTGAGTAGGCTCTTCTCTTACATAAAGCATGTACCAAACATGGATCGCTAGATAAATGAAAGCATTATGTTGCATCTGACTGAATTTCCCATCTGCCTTGTTTAAAGTCAATCTGCCACAGAAAAGTGTAAATTGCACTTTGTACTATATGAATGATGTGTCATCTACACAGACAAACTGCTGATTGTAGTTAATTGTAGACAGATGCAAGCATCGTATTGTTTCTTCTTCCTGAATGTGGTTTGGTTTTGTAATATATTCAGATGAGCTTGAACTGTCAAGTACATAGATGTCCTTTTATAAGCTGGGAAACAATTATCTGGCTTTGGCTTTGATTTGGAAAGCAAAGCATAGCTGCAGAGTTTACACTTTGCATTTGGAAATGCTGCTGTTCTTGGTGTAAAAGGGCCTAGGGGTCCCTGGTGCAAGTATCTAAATCTTTTGCTTACCTTTACCATCTTCATCTCCCCGTGTTCTCTCTCTCTCCAGCAAAGTGCATATCGAAATGGGGAGTGAAAGAATAAATCTTGTTCCACTGCCAATGAGTCAGGCTCCCATTATATTGTTGGTCCTGTATTGCCACTTGCACCATTGTAGTTAAACCACTGATGTTATTGATGAGCACACAGATTTCACAAACCAATACAATGTGTTGTCTGTTCATTATTTACTTAGATGGTCGTTTGGTTAGTAAGATATTGCTGCCTATTTTATAATGATAATGTTGCCTTGGATTCAACCTGGATCAATTGTTGATCCTGTTCACTAATCAAGTTCCCCAGGAAATGTTCTGTCTTGTCTGGGGAAAAAATAATCATTCTCTCTGGTAACCACAGTTCAAGAATCAAGATGAATGGTCCATTGATTCTGTCTTTAAGGAACATAGAACTTCTCATTTTCAGTAAAATTCAGTTTCCAATTGAAAAATGTAACACTGCCGGTTCTTGATGCAGAAGAATAGATTCTGCCAGAACTGTAGGATTCAGTTTTGATGGAAGCAGAACTCCACATAAAAAATTGAACTTCAATCTCACAAACTTTTACATTTCTCACAAATCAAATATGAGACGTTAATGCCTGAACGGCATTCATCTTTGAGTTCACAAGATTGATTCAGAGAAGAAAGTCCTTTGGCCAATTTGATCTCATCTTTCCAGAAAAATCACCAAACTGTCCGACATCAACCTATTTTTTTTAAATGACAGCAATGACTGCAAGACCTTATATTCCATGAGTAACATTGAAGAAAGGGAGGTCATTGGAATGTTAAGCATTCTTTGAACCTTCAGTCTTGTATACGGTATACTCAGGAAACTCAGGAACAAATTCGATCAATGGATCCTTTGTCAGAATGCATAATAATAATCCTTGCAGTTGATATAGTGCCTTATCACATCTTTGAAATGTCTCAAAGCGCTTGACAGAACATACTGTAAAGTGAATTTACTTGTATATTTTGTGGACGAAACACGGCAGCCAATTGTCCACACCAGTGTCCCACAAACAGTCATGGATTGAGTGAGCAATTTATTATTATTATTTTTTTTGAAGGAATTATTACCCCCGGAAAAGCGATCCGCCAATCGTCTGACAACCGGGTTCCTACTTACTGCTAGGTAAACAGAGGTGTGGAGTAAGAAAACTTGCCCAACATTTCGCTCTGTCGGGAGTCAAACCCAGGTCTCTCGCTTGCGAGGCGAGTGCTCTAACCACTGAGCTACAGGACTCCAAGCTTCACTCAGCTCAGCTTAAGTGGACAGTACTTAAGGGAAAAAACACGAAACGTGTGGGACACAAAGTTTATTGATGAACTTAATTAGTGAATTTGAAACAGAAATGCAGTAACTCCAAACACAGTTTATAAAAAAGATGTACTTTAGGTGCGCTTTCCTTTCCACCTCAGTAGGAAGTAATTCCTTTCCCAAGTACCCATATGTGTACATATTATAATCATTTGAATCATAATGCCTTACAAATAAATGTCTCACTTTGAGATAGTTTTAAACTATTCTTTAAGAAAAAATAAGTCTATTCATTTGCTTTACAATTAGCAACGATTCGGTTGTTGAGAAATGGAGCCCAAATTTGAAAAATAAATGGACAAAGATGGTGATCAAGTGAGAGGTGATACATAGGTTGGCCCCTTAGTGGCAGGGTCATTACTCTGCTCTGAGCTGCGATGACTTTGATAAATTATTATTTATATCCCAAATTCTGCAAACGCACAACAACAAGAAAGATCAGATGAGAACAACCATCAGTCTCATGTACTACTGTTACTCTCAAAATCATAATGTGCCATTTGTCTAAACGTCCCTCCTTGTTACTTATCTGTATCTTAACTGATAATATCATCAGCTATTTCGCTTCTTTCTTTAATTGTTGTGTTAAGGATCTCAAGCTAAAATGTGTTATTTTGGTAGAAATTGGAGCTCACATATTCCTTGACCTCCCAAGACCTGCTCTGTATTCTTCAGATTAATTTGCAGTGGCGAAATGCTAAGAATAAATGTTAGCATGTCAACTGCGAACTGTTACATGTAGAGGTTATGTTCCTGTGAAGCTTCAACTCATCTGAATATAATTATTTTCTTCTGGCCTTTAAACTCCATTGTTTTTAAACAGATTAATTGGTATTTTCCTGTTGCATTTAGAAACTCAAAAGTAATACTTTGGGGTGGGGTTACATTTATATATAAAATGATTGAAAAGAATATTGAGAATTGTCCAAAAAGGCACACGACCATCACTTAGAAAATACAAGTTGTTTCTCCGGTGGCAGTGAATTTGAGCAATCCTTTTGTGATGTAAAGGGCTCTTTGGCTGCGATGAATAAACATCTAGAATATACCATTGCAAGCAAGAAATATTTATTTGTATGGGTGGACTGCTTGCAAAGTGTTTATATATTTTTTATACTCTTATTTTACATGTTCTCTCACTCTCCCTTTCAATATTTTTGTATCACACAATAGTTTCTGCTTAAGAGAACATGTACATTACCTGGTCTGAAGCCCCTGGCAATGCCAGATGTCCTGTGGCCACCAGGAGGAGTGTGAGACTTGTCTGCCCAATTTTATTTTTCTCTCTTCCCCCCCCCCCCAATGTGGGGACATGCCTGGAATATCTTCTCTTAATGTTACATTAAACATATCTTTAGATGAATTTGAGGATTAGTTCATTGCTGTTGCTGATCATTGAATTTTACTTAAACTTTGTGACATATGAATTCTGTTTGGTCTCTATAGCACAGTGAGAATATGGAACCACTTTGATCTCTATAACTCAGTGAAGCATAGAACTTGTTTGATCTGAAAGAACCAGTAAGGTATATAGAACCCGTATGGCCTCATGCTGCATTATCAAGCTCATAACAGAAAGTCTGGGTCTATGTTTTAATCCAATTTGATAGGTAAAATATATGCACAGTAGCTCTGCAAGGTTGTCAGACTGAATGTTTTTGTGTTTTCACAGGTTGATCCGCATAGTATTGCTGCCAGAGACGGGCGCATCAGAGAAGGAGATCGGATCATACAGGTATATGTGGAAAGAAATGTATTTGTGACTGAGCTGACTAGCCTACTCTGGTGCTAGATGCAGAACGTGCTTTGGTCTTGTGACCAGAGGTCAGAATTTGAACAAGCAGGCAAGCTGAACAGGTGGTTGTTTCTGAGGTCTCAGATGTTCGACCCTGAGCTGTCCTTTCTCCCTCACATCCGCACCACAACTGGCACCGCCTTCCATCACCTCCGGAACATCGCCAGATTACGGCATTACCTCACCCCTCACGCTGCTGAAACCCTGGTCCACGCCTTTGTCACCTCAAGGCTGGACTATGGGAACTCTCTCCTCGCCGGCCTTCCCGGCACCTCCCTCCACAAGCTGCAGGTCATTCAGAACTCTGCAGCTCGTGTACTGTCCTGCACCAGGCTTCGGGACCACATCACTCCCACCCTCGCTCGCCTCCACTGGCTCCCCATCCCCCAGAGGATTGATTTCAAGATCCTCATCCTCACCTACAAGGCCATTCACGGCCTCGCTCCCTCCTACCTCTCCAACCTACTATCCCCCTACCTACCTGCCCGTACCCTCCGTTCCTCCGGCTCCGGTCTGCTCCACGTCCCCCGCCCCAATTGCCCTACCATCTGTGATCGGGCCTTCAGCCCCGAGGCTCTGGAACTCTATCCCCCAGTGCCTTCGCCTTGCTTCCTCCCTCTCCTCCTTCAAGGCCGGTCTCAAAACCTTTCTCTTTGACCGAGCCTTTAGCTCCCCTCTCGACTCTCTTCCCCCTTCTCGCTTCCTCCCTTCCCTTCCCTAACCCTGACCATTTACCCCCTGCTCGGGTCATGACCCAACTGTGCAGCGCCTTGGGACGTCCTCCTGACGTGAAAGGCGCTTTATAAATGGAATCTTGTTGTTGTTGTTGATGTGTAGCTGCATATGAAGCGTAACCTGGCAGATAAGTCGTGATAAGTTTCCATGCCAATCAAATTTTGCACTGGTTTTAAATGAATAAAGGAGCCATACAGCTCCCACTATACCACATTTCTGGAGGCAGCTAGAGCAAAAGCACTGTCACAAACGTCAGACCAAGTCACAGAAACTTCATAAACACTCGATATGTGCAGTATTATTTCCCCACACAGAAATTTAACAAATATTATACATTGCCTCCCTTTCTCAAAGTCTGCTTTGTAATATCAAGCTATTTATTGTCCTTCCAAACTCAAGATTTGATTGTTTCCTTGACAATCATTCTCTTCAGTCTACTTTTATTGAACAAATGCTTTCAAGCTTGAAACAGTATTTCAGCTTTGTTTTTCCAGAGGCTGGCATTCCTGTGATTCGGGTAAAAAAAACAGTTTAAAGTTAGAAATTTTTAAAATACGAAATAGAATTGTTCTCAGAGGCAGATCTTCATTGCTGTTCTCAATAGGAAACCAGGTTGCACATCCAACTGTGACTGGTGAATCAGCTTTAGTGAATAAACAAAACAAAATAGTCCCATTAATTGTAAATGTTTGAGTTATTTATAAGTGATCAAACAATAAGTAATGTAATCAAATTCATTGTCTGAATATCATTAGATAGACAGGCAGGTGTGATATTCCCTGTTCTTGTGAGCATTGCTGCACAGAATCAAACTGTTTAAACGTTAGTTGGGTGATTTTGCTTATGCAGACTTCAGATCTGTTAGTTATAGAAAGTGAAAATGTTACACAATAAAACTCACACAAGTCGTATCAGGTGGGATTATAACATTTAATATGGCTTACACAAAGTCCAAGTTGCAGGCAAACTGTATAAATCCTATAAAGTCCAATTTAATCAATAATCACAACTGAGCATGCCTAATTCAATGCAGCCTGTTTGTGAGCATGCAGTGATGAGTCAAGACTATATTTCCCACGATTCAAGCATCTTAACCCATCGCCGCATGTGCACTTACCAGCAAGCATCCGAATCACGGTGAATCGCGGAAAATGCAGTTCTTCTGATCAAAACTACATTTCCCGTCGACAGGACAGTACATTTTCCGTGATTCAATGCAGCTGGTAAAGTGCAGGAGTAATGGAGAATAGGGAAATGATGTTGTACGTTAGGAAGTGATTAATATGGGTAATGCAAAAAAATCAAAGTGGTTTTGATAGGAAATTGAATGGGTCTCGGGCGAATGAATAATTTAGGTGATTATACAGGGTGTCCAAAAAGTCGAGATAACCATCCTATTTTCTAAAAGAAAACAAAAATATCATCATTTCTTTAAGACTTATTTAAACATTGTAATTGTATCGCAACTTTTTGGTCACCCTACGAGTTTTACAGTATTTGTGGAGCAAAGATGCTTTTTCTATCTTGGGGTTAAGGTTTAAAGTGGCCTTACTATATATTGAACTTCTAGTTTCTCTGACCAAACAGAATGTAGTGCAAGGTGCAATATTATGTATAAAAAATATCCTAAGAGTTATGATAGAGCTTTTACCTTATTGATTAGAAATAAAATAAAAACAATCTAACAGGGAGTTGAAAGGCAGGAATTCAATTGAAAGCCACAGCTGACACAATAAATCACAAAAGTAAAGGTGCAGTTTGTAAACATTACCAAATTACAATATATATAAAATATACAGTCAATTTACTTTGCAGTATATTCTGTGAAGCACTTTGAGACGTCTCGAAGACGTGATAAGGCGCTATATCAAATGCAAAGATTATTATTATTACAACTGTCTGGTTTATCTTTTGTCGAATGACCTCAGTAGCCCCTTTCTCGGTTATCACAAATTTTAGCTGTACCCGTCTTAACTCTTTCTGTGCTTATTCTGTGGTGTGCACTGATTGCATAGGCACAAATGATCAAGCTTAGACTGGGTTGATAAAAAAAACACCAGGAAATTACTCTTCAATTTCCACAAAATCAAGACGAAAATAGATCGGCAATCACACCAACTCTTTTTCAACACCAACAATGTTTTCCAAACTTCCCCCAGATGAAATGGGACCCAGCTTTCGATTACAAGTGGCAATATTTTTTTACGTGCATACAACCAGGGTTGACAGCTTTTTAATTTTAAAGGATTGTCATAATAGGTGTTATATCGGTATCAAATTGCAGAATTCAAAATGCAGAATTTGCGGACATAAAGAAGTGATTTTGTGCGTCTCTTTTTGCTCACAACCAAATCAAGTGTATAGGAGGGTAGTTTTAAATGAATCAATAATTGTTGCAATAGGCGAGAGTGTTGAGATGAAAGAAAAGTGGCTGGTGGCCAGTGACCTGCAAGCACTGCACTCCACCTTGTGTTGTGAGATTATACGGTATTCTTTCTAATTGGCTCCCCATGAGTATGGAGGCTGAATGACTTCTGCTGCAATGTTTCAGCTCCATCTTCCACCACCATTATCTCTGACTGACACTTCCATTACTCTGAAGGGAGAAAGATGAACGTCACCTGTCACAGGCTGGTTAATTGTGTTGCTAGATGTATGTCGCTGGGGCATAGGTTGGACATTTATGAACATTATGACTTTCTCTGATGTCCACGATCCTTCAGTAATCAAAAATAACTCTGGGCGAGAACATAATTGAGTGACGGCACTTGCTACTCTGGTTCCACAGCTGAAGCCTTTGTGTGAAAAAAAACTTGTCAGTTGTTACCAGAGAAGAGCCTATAGTTTGCCTTTTACTATGTTCAGAGTTGTCACTGTGGAAGCAAATGTTGGGGGTTTGATTTTGACTCCTTTTCCTTTCTGTCACTCTCTTACAGATAAATGGCAGGGATGTCCAGGACCGAGAGGAAGCAGTTGCTTTGCTCTCCAGTGAAGAAAGCAGGAATATTCTGCTGCTGGTTGCCAGACCAGAAATGCAGGTAAATGTTGAGTGAGTGCTTTCTCCTTGTTGTATACAGATGCAATGTCACCAGCGTAATGGGAGGTAAGGGTCCATTTTACTCAGATATTTGTAATCTAACCACATCTGGGACAGGATTGGAATTTGTGTGGGTTTAAAAGATAAATGATAATTATTTGCATTTGATATGGTGCCCTGTAATAGTGCATTGCTCTCCCAGCACTGCATTGGAGGGTCAGCATAGACAACGAGCTCAAACTTCCAACATTGAGCTTGAAGCCACAGCAGCAACAACTTGCATTTATATAACGTCCTTCACTCGGAGTAGCTTCCCTGGAGGGCTTAAATCGTCTGCCCCAGAGCCGAGAGTGCTACCTTCTGAGACAGGTTGCCAATTATTATCATTTTTCAAAGAAAAATGATACAATTTATATTCTCCTTGGTATTGAATTCATGAGCCCTTTAAAAGTATGGGAAAAGAAACACCTCTGTTAACTCGATCGGTAAGGCCTGTGCCTACACTGAAGCTGACATATACAGGCAGCAAGGTCTTCAGTTCAATATGTGATTTATTAGTTCTCAGCCACAGTGGTGGAAGGAGCGATATAGCCCCTGAGTTTGAAAGAGAATAAAAGAATTTCTCCTGACCACGATCCAGCAACCTTGTCTGGAAAGTATGTGCAGACATTGAGTAAGAACGCACAGGTCAAACAGTCTGCCATCAGCTCACTTGGATGAGGTGCCAAGTGCAACCAATTCCCGTGGAACTGTTGTATCTTTAGAAGAGGAGCTGAATATACACTTTGTAATTTCTCTGAAAAAATGTTGTTGCAGTATTTACTTGTCACACTGTTGTGATGACATTAAACACTCCTGTAGCATCCTCCTGCGAATGTCACTCAGTGCTGCAAAAAAACAAATAAACTGTAATTAAATAAACACTGTATCCGAAGATAGACAATACCTGAATTAAACTGCTTCTTCCATTCCCACGGATTACTGATCTAGAATTCCCAGATATATATGTCACCTTTTGTTTATTTGTTATCCTTTGAAGTTTGGAAAAGCACAGGATCAGATCTAGCCTTTCATTCCCTTGTTATTATTTAGAACAAAATATTATAATTACCCACACTAGGTTTTCTACATGGTGCAGATTTTGAGCAGAAATGAGAATGAGTGACCAAGACTATATTCAAGCATCTGAGATTGTGTACCAGCCCTGGCATGCATGTAAAGGACATTAATTGAGAAAGAAAGAGGAACTTCTGTTACTTCACTCTCTGTCTAGACAATCTAATGTCTCAGCAGTAATTGGTTTTCTCAATAACTTCAAATGATTGTAACCAAACTGTAAAAAAAAATTAGATAATTTCAGAACTGCAACTTTAAAGGGACATGACAAGAGTGGAAGGAACCAACAGCTAAACTCAACAGACCTTGCAAATTACATAGGGTAGGCACCTCAGAGGTATAAATCTTGATGATGTTTGACAAGTTGCAGGAAATCCAAATAAAAGTAAATGAAAGTTCTTTCCAAAACACGGAACGTGTACAAGTCTTGGAAGCGTGACATTGCACCTTTGCAACAAACCTGTTGAGTTTGTATTTGGGCAGTCCTGTAAAGAACCTAATATCATGATATTCTAAAGCGGTAACACCATGGCTTATTGACCTCTTTTGTTCAACCAGAATTTAGTCAATTTAGCCTCACGGGAAGACTTTCCATTTGTACTTTTTGCATTCTGCTTTTAAACTCTGTCTTGTTTTCTCGGTGTTCAGTTGGATGAGGGTTGGCTTGACGATGACCGGAATGACTTTCTGGATGAGTTACATATGGATATGTTGGAAGAGCAGCACAACCAAGCAATGCAGTTCACAGCCACCACCCTCGAACAGGTGATCATCAAGTTTTAACCACTGAACACACATGAATTTTCCTCTATGTAGTATGATATTGTGTGGTATATTTTTTACTTTTACATTTTGGTCTCGAGTCTAAAGAACCAAAAGTCAAGATATTAATGTAGCTTTCTACAATTTACATTTCCAAACACGTATGCCTTTTCGGATACCCATCTCTCGGTAATGCTCACAGTCCTGTGAATCTTTCTGAATGGAACTAGTAGTGAACAAGGTTTATCCATCTCCTGGCTATGATTTTGTTCAGTTAGGCAACAAGATAGATGCCGAAAAAGTCAGTTGCCCTTTATACTTTTGAGGTGAGTCTCCATGCGATTGACATTCTGGTGAGATGGGCATTTTGGATACACGCTGCAAGAAATGTAATCTCTGTACTGATGCAGCAGATGAATGCTTCTTGTAGTTATATTGAAAGCAGATTGGGAAGGACCTCATTGCACTGAGCTTCGGCACAAAATATAAAAATATCAAATGTCACACTTCCACCAGCCTGCACAAAATATGCAAATTAACTTTAGTTACAAAAACTACACGTTACCATATCCCATCCGTCTATCAAGAAACAATTGCTGTGAATTACTTTAATTGCGAATATGTTATCAAGATTCAGCTTGTCCCATGGGACATTTATCACAGTAGACTTGGTGCAAGATCACAATTATGATACCAAGATGGTTTCTCCCTTTCTTGTTTCTCAAATTGTTTTTTACCTACCTCAAATATTACTTCTCCAAAACATCTCTTGAGCAGTATTCGGCCGGAAAATGTAAAGAAATGACTCCAAAATTGCAGTTTCTAAAATCCCTGCTTCCGGGTAGTTGCAACATCCAGACACATTAATGGTAAACATGAATTAGTCTGAATTCATGGTAAACATGAATTAACAGTAAACAAATTAATGGTAAACATGAATTACAACAACAACAACAAGATTTCATTTATAGAGCGCCTTTCACGTTGGGAGGACGTCCCAAGGCGCTGGACAGTTGGGTCGGGACCCGAGCAGGGGGGAAATGGTCAGGGTGAGGGGAGGGAAGGGAGGGAGCGAGGAGGGGGTAGAGAGTCGAGAGGGGAGCTGAAGGCACGGTTGAAGAGAAAGGTCTTGAGACCGGCCTTGAAGGAGGAAAGGGAGGAGGCAAGGCGAAGGCACTGGGGGATGGAGTTCCAGAGCCTAGGGGTTGAGAGGCTGAAGGCCCGGCCACCGATGGTAGGGCGGTTGGGGCGGGGGATGTGGAGCAGACCGGAGCCAGAGGAACGGAGGGTACGGGCAGGTAAGTAGGGGGATAGTAGGTCGGAGAGGTAGGAGGGAGCAAGGCCGTGAATGGCCTTGTAGGTGAGGATGAGGATCTTGAATTAGTCCATGATGCTTTGTATCCATCCCTGCTGAATACGAATTGCTAGTGGCTTCCACAGTCTGACTTTCCCTTTTGTAACGTAGAAAAAGCACGAGGAAGATGGTGGAACAACAGACACTGCAACCACTTCTTCGAACAACCATGAGAAGGACAGTGGGCTGGGCCGTACAGATGAAAGCATGAGGAATGACGAGAGTTCGGAACAGGAGATTATGGGCGAGGAGCAAAATAGCAGCTCACTGCAGAGCCAGAGGGAGCTGGCCTACAGTCAGGACACTTTGGGAAGCAGTGAGCTGCACTGTAATGAGAGCCTTGTATCTGGGAGTATAATGACTCGGATTTTGTTGGAATCCAGGATGAAGAATGTGAAAGATTCAAAGAGCTTCTGGAACTGAAGTGTAAAATGGGGAATCAAAGCCATTTTGACCTTTACTACTCCACAAGCACAATCGAATGTGGCAGGAGGCAGCAAGATGTAGTGGATCGTGAGCTGGAGATGCTTAATGAGGAACTAAGGAACATTGAATTGGAATGCCAAAATATTATGCAGGCACATCAGCTTCAGAAAGTGAGGGAGCAATATGGAGATGTGTGGTCAATCCACAGTGGAGCATTTAGGAACTACAACACCAGCATCGACTTGCAAAGGGGCAAGCTAGCAGATATCCTGGAGCACCCTGAGAAATCAGACAAAGATAGCTCCAGTGCATATAACACGGCAGAGAGCTGCCGCAGCACCCCTTTGACCATAGACCGTTCGCCCGACAACTCACTCCAGCGAATCGTCAGCATTACCAATAAGAAAAATCTGAGAAGTTCCACTGGAGCTGAGCAAAGCTCATCAAGACAGAACAGCAGAGAAGCGAGTCCTGCCGCGAGCAGCTCTTCTGAGACGCCAGAAACAGCTGTAGCTGGAGAGGACCTAGAGAACGTGACGGAGGGGAGCAAGTCTGAAGACCAAGAGAAAGGCAGCGCTCAACGTGTTCCTTATCTCTCTCCTTATCACAGTTCTCCATACAGACACACCAACATACCCGCTCATGCCAGACACTACCAGAGCTATATGCAACTCATCCAACAGAAATCTGCAGTGGAGTACGCCAACAGCCAACTCAGCCTCGTAAGCATGTGCAAAGACTCTCAGAAGCCAACAGAGTCTAAGATGGAGTGGAAGGTGAAAATCCGGAGCGATGGAACTCGATACATCACAAAACGACCAGTGCGGGATCGCCTGCTCAAGGAACGTGCCTTAAAGATCAAAGAGGAGCGTTGTGGCTTGACCACAGACGACGATGCCGTGAGCGAGATGAAAACCGGTCGCTACTGGAGCAAAGAAGAACGAAAGCAGCACATAGTGCGAGCCAAGGAACAGCGGAGACGGAGGGAGTTCATGATGCGCAGCAGGTTGGAGTGCCTCAAGGAAAATCCCCAGAGTGGTGGTGAAGGGAAAAAAGAAGTCAACATAATCGAACTGAGTCACAGAAAAATGATGAAAAAGCGAAATAAGAAAATCTTTGACAACTGGATGACAATTCAAGAACTAATGACACACGGTGCCAAATCTCCAGATGGCACAAGAGTCTACAATTCCTTCTTGTCAGTTACCACTGTATAAAGAGAACTCTTTTATAAGGACACTACCAATTGAGGTAGAATACAGTTGCCTCGTTAAATGCGGCATGTTTTTCTATTTGAGAACTGCTTCTAATCTAATTTCGGTATGAAAAGCAGTTACTTATCTGTTTTCCAAATACAGCTTATGGTACCTTTGTCCCCAGGTTGCTGCCTTGCTTCATTCACCACAATCTCAAATCCCAATTTGTAAAGAAGTCATAATATTTCACATTACGTTATACCTATTGCAATTCAAAACATAATTTGATTTCAGCACTTGTTCCACTGAACATTACCAAGGTTCTTTTGTAATGTATCTTTGTTATTATTCAAAAAATTCATTGGCAAACTAATAGCTTTGCATACTTGCCCATCTGCATCGCAGTACATGTTTATCAATAACTTTACTTTCTCTGCTGCAAAGTGGAGCATAAACAATTAACATTGACTCTTTTACCTTTCACTTTTGTTCAGCCATGTATTGTACAATTAGACTGTAAATGAAGTGTATTGTCCAAGTAAGTGTAGATGGATGAGTGATCTGTACTCTGTAGTGGAATTGATGATGTAGTCAGGTAAATATGTGGTTATTGTGAAGATGAAAGAAATAAATTATTGCTTATATTTGAAGAAATACAGATCGCAGAGTACATGTTATTGTAAAATCTTTACTACACTCATTAAGTGCTATAACAATTTGTTTTGTTGGCATTGACTGTTTTAATTGGCCTCAGGAGAACTGTTATTTTAAAGACAACAAGCTGGAATCAATAGTATTTCCATTAAAAATCTTTGCAATTGAATTATCCATAGAGAGTGTGCTTTTTTTCTGCTGGTCTCCAAGTCGTGGACTTTAAGTCTGTAATCAAATCCAGATACGCACATTCTTTGAACATTGTGGCAAGGCTGCACGTAAGAGATATCTTGAGTAAAGGCAAAGAAGATGGAAAATCAAAATTAATTCCAATCTCTTCTCTCAGTGCAGGGAAACACAAAACTAAATCCAAAATTTAGAGTCCTCAAAATTGTTTAAGTAACCCCATCTCAAACAAAACAGGTGGAGGTTAGGTGAAGCATGCTTAGAATAACCACCAAGAAACCTGGAAAGCCTATAGGGGAAGTCAACGTCATTGATTGAGGGAGCTTTAAGCAGTGTCTGGGAGCTGAGTCAAATGAGTCTTGGTCTGAGATGCCAAGAGAGTTGGGAAGGGGAGGTTGGTAGGACTGCAGCGTTAGTCTGGGCAGCATCAAGTAGCCCTGTGTAGAGGCGATCTGGCAACGTATAACACATCATTTTAGGGCTACTATTTGATTTGGAGGGAAGGTCCAAGTCCAATTAAATCTTGCAACGTAGAATTAGATGCACGTTACAATGGCTTTCACATTTTCCTGACACATTGCAAGTTCCAGTAGCAATGGAGCCGTGCTTGCGAGGGGGTGGGTCGGGGGAATGCAGTTCAATCCCCGTTTTGATCGATTGTGTTGCTTTGACCTAGACTGGACGGAAGATTGTTAACTTGATTGCAAGGCTGAAAATACAGTCTGAAAGTATGTGGCCTTGTCAGTGATGAAAGCACTCGATTGATCTACAGACCTTGAATTCACCTGCATATTTTATACACAAAATACTTGCAAAAATTAAATTCCCAGCCAGGATCTCACTATAGATCAGTCAGATCACGTATTTTGTGGTTGTAAACCATACTATAATGTGAAGCAATTGGTTTTCAAATACTCTGTGTAGCACAGTAGCTATACCAAAAGGTGCAAAACTTCAAACAATTCTTTGAAAATGAATGCAATGCAGTGCACAGTATTCTGCTCACAATAAAAGTTTATAAAATAAACAGAAATGGCCTTATTCCATTTTATCACAACTATAAATTGCTTCAACTTTGGAAAAATATAAAATCTTTCTCAACTTTTGTTTTCCCTGCCCTCCTGTGTTTTATGTGGTGGCTGTGAAATGAATGCATTCCCCTGGGCTTTTGTGGTTCAGATGCTTGTTCCTTCCTCGTTGTATGGGTGGCTCAGTGTTCTGTAGTTCAGTGGTTAGAGCACTCGCTTTGCAAGTGAGAGACCTGGGTTCGATTCCCAGCAGGGTGAAATCTTGGGCAAGTTTCCTTATTCCACACGCCTGATAATAATCCCTCAAAAAAAATCCACGACTGTTAGTGGGACACTGCTGTGTGCAATTGGCTGCCGCATTTCGTCCACACATATACAGTTAATTCACTTCACAGTCTATTCTGTGAAGCACTTTAAGACGTCTAGAAGATGTGAAAAGTGCTATATCAAATGCAAGGATGATTATTATTATGGGGAACGGAATCGATCGTTGAAAATTAGACTATAAACCGATAATAGAAGTATTCAAAGTTTTTTTAATTGCATTGAAAGATTTAGCAAACGTGTTAAATACTCTTCGCACATAATTGGTAGTGCACAAATGAACAGAAAAAGACGAACACTGTCAATCAGTACACATGAGAAAGAAGCTTCTCTCTCACTGAGATGTGCGCAAAAAGGTTAGAAATCTCACCTCTCTCTACCAATAAAGGAAAAGCCCTATTTTAAATTACCTTATATGGCCAAAGTTTTGTATCCGTGGAAACCACAAAAACTGCATGTGAAACACAGTCTCAAAGCAATCAGGGAAGCCCTGGAAATGACAGTGAGAACAGCGAAGGCTATCAGCAGTATCCAGTGTTAATATCATTTAATCCTTGTTTTGTAGAGGAGATTATACTGTATCTCTGCTTGTAATCTTGACCAAATGTTCTTTTTAAGTGTCTATTACATACTTTTAAAAGTGTAATCCTCTCCAACCGCACTCCATGACATTTAAATTTTCCACAATTACTGTACATCCTATAATTTAAAATGTACTGCAGCACATAAATATTCTCTTCTTAATATACCTCTAAGCACTTTGTGAATAACAGACATTTAAAAAACTGAAATTAAATTTGAATCATCTCTTTGCCAAAGTGTATAAAGTTGCAGACAGTGGATTTCTGGCACAGAGGCTTCTCTTCGTACAGTGGAGGAATTCAGCCATTATATGTAACCAACTTTGCTGATTCCAAAGTTGTTCCTTTTCATGGAGACGCCACCCAATCTTGCTTTGGAGGGAAGATTATGGTAATGTCTCTGGTGTTCCAGGAACTTGATTCCGTATTAAAAATAAACATTTGAATTAGTTGACTTGGGGACATGCCTGCCCCTCTTCCTGAACACATGGCGTGTAATGGAGGAATCTGTCTTGTAACATGTTATTGTTGGCACGACATTGCTGTTCCTTCTTGCAGTGGATTCCGGTTGAAAATGGGACCTGTTTCATACAGGTTTGAGTTTTACTTTTCTCAAGTACGTTTGGCTCAATAGAAAAAAATAATTAGTATTGTTTGTATCTAAATTCTGTGGACTAACCTAAAAGGGGATTATTCCAGATAATCCATTCATGTTCTCCAACACAGGATCCTCTGCAGGAGGGAGAAGCAAAAGAATGTATTATTTCTTACCCTGGGCTGCAGCTTTCTTGAGCTGCGGCAGTGGAGGTTTTTGCAGTAAAGTCTGTTCATGCGGCTGTGCCTCATTCTTCATGGGCAGCTAACTTCATAAACCATCTGCCACATGGTGTGGTGTATTATAGAGTAGACAGGAATCCTAGCCTTGGTTGCAGTGGGATGTGCTGGCCTTCTTACTCTATCAATTAAACAAACTTATAATAATCCTTGCATTTGACGTCTCAAAGCATTTCACAGAAAATATTGTAAAGTGAATTGACTGTATATTTTGTGGGCATATGCAGCAGCTGATTGCACAAAGTAGTGTCGCACAAACAGTCGTGGATTGAGTGACCAAATTATTATATATTTTTTAAGGGATTACTACCCCCGGAAAGTGATCTGTCAACCGACTAACAACCGGGTTCCTACTTAGGTAAACAGGGGCTTGTGGAGTAAGAAAACTTACCCAACGTTTCGCCTTTGCATTTGGACGGGAAATAAAGTTTTATTTTCAGGATCTACCTGTGGCTTCAACATGATAGAAGTGATGGTGAAACAGTGCCATCAAGCATTGTAAACTCTTGAGTGGCAAGTCATCTCGCATGACACCAGGTGATAACTTGTGTGAGTGAACACAGGGGGACCAGGAGAGGAATTTGAGATTGGTTTCTTCCAAGACGCTTTGCTGAATATGTATGAACACCTGGTTCATCGGGGTAAGTGAGATTTACCTTACACCAGAAGGTATTGCCACTTCTGTGTGTCAGGGCAATACTTTCTTTTAAGACAGGCCCGAACTATATATTCGATAACAATCATTTGTGAAAGATTTTTGTGCTAAAAATAACCCAGTTGGAATATTATTTCAGGTGGGCAAGTAATAGTTTTTTGGACATGCCAAACTGATACATATTCCTTTGTTGTCAAGCCTCCTGCTGCAAGTTATTATTGGAGAGCTGTTGGTAAGAAATTTATAACAGGTTCTTTAACACGGACAACTTTAACAAGATTCATAGGCAGCTCAGTGCATTGCAACAGTAGGATTAGTTCCAAGAAAGGTGCTCGATTTGAGTAATTGAGCAAATTACCAGAAGGAAGCTCTGGAGTGAACAGGAGCTTTCACTACTGTGGGTGAAATTGAAGCTTTGATGTGGATGCTGCCAATTTCATCAATTCAGCTTAAACTAGTTTATCTTGTAAAATGATTTTACTCATAACTCTCCGAACTGGGATGTCAATTCTCATCGTCAAACACGTTAGCAATGTAAATTGTACGAAGACACGACTTTTGATAAATCTCCAGATTACCCCAATCGTCTTTTGTTGAGGAAAGATTTTTTTAAAATAAAGTGTTACAATGTCAAAATCCCTTTGTGGGCAAACAGAAATGTCAAATAAAAGTTGTCCCATCGTGTAGATACTTCGAAATTCATCTGTTAATTCTCATTAGCACTTTGATGGGGATGGAAATGCCAGTTAAATGCTATCAAGCTTTTCGGGATTATTTAGTTTGATGAAGGCTTTAGGTATCAGCGTTAGCACCAACTAATTAAGTGGCCTGCTTGCAGCTGCTGGGAGACCTGATCAGGTATAATTAAAAATGAACAGATGACAGCAGTGGCATTTATCAGATTCATGTCCTGTTAAATTCGTAATCCTGACAGAAATGTCAAATTGATAGCAGTCCTTATCTTTCAGATGCAGGGTACCTTAAGCAAGCAGCACTTATCAGATAAATGCCGGTGATAACCTTTAGGAATCCCTCAAACAGCAAATATTAAATATTAAATTTCATAATCCGACGAAGGAGTTGCACTTCATGGCTCTTTGAAATCCAGAACATGATGAGGCTTTAACCATTGGCCTACTTATCTTTTGCTGTTGTGGATTTTTTTTTATGTACAACTTTCTGTCCTGCTCCACAAATTACACTGACAAGATCCAAAGAGTAACCACACAGTGGACCCTTATGAATACTGGAAAGATTTGTGGCGCTTGGATATTATACAATATCCTTGCCATTCGGCCTTTTTCTTGAAGGATCATAGACAAATCCACCCCTGCAAGTCTCATGAGTCTGATCTCTTGAGTTATTATGGACCTTTCTGCCTTCAAAGTGTGGTATCTTCAAAGCTATTAAAACCTCTCGTTTTATCAACCTGGAAAAGGCAAAACGTTGAATAGGATTTTCTGGGATTTAGAAGCAGAAGATTTTGATGCAATTCCAGAACTTGACCAGGATCAAATATATTAGAGTTCAGTTTGATGGTGGTTATTGACATAAATAATGA